TGCCTTTTTTTCACCAAATCCATCGATCTGCCAATATTTTTGTTCAAATCCGAAACCACAACCACATCTGAAAACAGAAGTGTAAAAGTTCAAATGTAAACTGGTAAATATGAATGCCATCGTTAGTTTCGCACAAATAGTAAAGAATGCAGCATGCTTGATGACTATAACACAGTACAATTCCAATTATTATAACAGTCTCACACCTGAGTTTAAATGAGCTTTCTTCGAAAAAAGAAATAATTTGGACAAGTTCATTAACATACTGACCAAGGCTGAAGAAAGATTTATAATCCAAATTTCATTGAGGACCCAAGATCCAAACATCAAGACAGGCAGAATCTGGAATCCGCCCCAAAATTCACAGCTGATCCACGATCCACTGTGTTTTCAGAATCTGCGAATCGGCCTGATTTACCACAAAAATCCACAATCTGTGCGCTTTTTAAGGCCAAATCTGTTGATCTGAAAACCTATTCAGCTCCCTCCTATAAGGACAAAATAGTGAAAAAGAAAACCCTGAAGGTAAATACATGTAGCCAGTGTGAAGTATCACGAAATGTATGCTATCACGTCACAATAATATTGCTTTTGGGATGAGTAAGTGGTGCAAGATTCTTCTACCAATGAGAAGTAACACAAGACCAAAGCACATGGAAATATGTTGGGCACTCAAGTAAAAACTGTTCCTTTGAAATCTTGTATTGTCACTTTGTTGTTGTAGAAAGTGTCCACATACCCCTTGTGTGGAAGGTTATTGGTTTGAACTACCCCTCCCCTATGGAAACTCTCAACAGTTCAGCTTCATATTTTGTTGTAGAAATGTTGGCTTTTGACACCCTCTTCCAGGACCTTGAGATTTCCATTATCTTTGCAATGGATTATTGCATTCAAAAGATGATCAGCAGCAGTAATTATAGTGCAAGCATTTTACTCCTATAGGTAGTCGTATTAGAGTGGTTTTTCCTTGAGTGTTGAAAAGTAATTAATAGTTTTGCCTAACTATGCGACTTCACATCAGCTACATGCATTAAGTTCGAGTTTTGTATTATCTGTGCATGTGTCCCTTGTGATTGGCTAAAGTGATTGCTTTGGTTTTTGCTCCAAAAAGTTTTTTATTATAATTTTCTTTGTTAATTTTCGTGGCTCTGTAAAATGAACCCTGTGGGTAAATAAAGATTTTATTATTTAACATATATTATTACTTCATGACTGATTACTGTTACCACAGTTGTAGGAAAAACTCCAAACCTAGTACCAGTTGTCTGTCTCCAGTTTATAGATTAATTTTTCTATAAAATGTTAATCTTCCATAGGTTTTGATAATGTCAAGGCCAAGGATGATTATGTTCTTTCAT